GCCTCTCAAGGGTGGGCAGGTCCACTTACTTGGTCCTGAAGTCGTCGGCAGCCAGCTTGGCGTTGTCAATCTGCACCACCAGCCGGGCATTCTCTGCCTTGCTGCAGAGAGTCTGGGGATAGAAAGGAGCAACTTCAGTACAAGAGAGGACCTTCTGCTAGTGGGAACCCCCCAAGGCAGGCAGAGGGGTGGGGAGGGTCCCTCTGGACAGAAACAGTTGTCCATCCTGGACTCCTGGTAGCGGTACTCCTTGAGGGTTCGTGGGAGGCAGTAGGGACTGGACTGTGGAACCTCTACGATCCCTCCCATGCAGCAGGTCTGTGGTATGTAGCCCAAGGCTAGAGAGAAGGGCACGGGCGTGCTTCAGGAAAGGCTGGGCACGGTAGAACGAGGCTTCCCCCTGCCTTCCTGTCTTCCTGTCTCCCAGGACTGCTGGGGACCCAAAGTAGGCCATTGCCTACAGTGTACCCTGTGATTCTCTGGCCATAGACTGTCCTTCTCAGAATCCAGCTGTGACTCTCAAGGGATGTAGACAAGGCAAGAAGGAAACTTTTCTGACAGGTGTTTTCTTCCCTGAGTTACTTATGGGAAACCTGATCTACACTCACCGCATCAGGTTCAATCCCTTCATCTTAAAATAAGTGAAGAAATTAAAAAATCAGAGAAATGGACAATGGTGCCAAAGGTCACCCATCAGTTAATTCATATACTCTTTGTTCATCATGACCCAGAGGGCACTAATGGCCATCTGGGTCAATTAACCAGCCAAAGCCTGGTTAACTGACAGTGTTCTCCTCTGTTTAATGGGCTAATGATACCTCCCTCAGTAATTACTGGTAGAAACATGCTTCTTAACCTCCCAGGTGCCCTAGGGCCACCATCACACATGTTCCGGCTGCTAGTCTGAGTCTAATGCCACCAGGCTCCCGGGTAGCCACTGCCACACGGAACCTCTCACCTTCTTCTGGAGCTCCTCTATGGTCCGGAAGTAGGACTGGTAGTCGGGGCACATGTAGGGCACCTGCTGCTCACACCACTCCCGAATGCGGCTCTCCAGGCTGGCGTTCTCCTGCTCCAGCTGGCGCACCTTCTCCAGGTAGCTGGCCAGCCGGTCGTTCAGGGACTGCATGGTCTCCTTCTCGTTGCCAGTGAGGATTCCCTCCCCAAACCAGCCCCCACCCATGCTGTAGCTGGCGGCAAAGCCTCCAGTGGGGAGGCAGAGAGCAGGGAGGCCACCAGAAGCCCTGGAGCTGCTTCTGCCCAGCCCGGCCGTGCACACAGAGAAACTTCGGGCCCCCCGGGAGAGACTCGGGAGTTTGCAAGAGCTGCTGGAATAGATGGTGGATACACGACTGGAGCCCCCTCCGGTCCCTCCTGGGCTCTTGAGGGATCCCGAGGAGAAGCTGGCCTTGAGGCATTTGGAAGCCATGGCCACAGGAGCCCGGATGCAAGTGGTAGATCCCTAAGACCAGACACACCGATGTGAAGAAGCAGCTCCGCAGCCGGGATTTATACCTCCACCCCAGTGGGTGTTGGTTGGCCCTTACAAAGTGTTTTCTCCTCATTAAAATTAATACCACTTTCTATTGAAACCCCTCATTAACCTGTTATTTAGTCTTCCGTGAATATTTCCCGGCCTTGTAAAATAGGAGTCCCGTTGAACTGGTGGCTACACGGAGACTCACCCCCACCATCCCATGTCCCTGGGAAGACCAAGGCTCCGTCAGTTCTTCAAAGGGACCTGTCATCAGAGCCCAGACCTCAGCCTCCTCGTTAAACAGGCGTGGGAGTCCAGCCACCGCCTTCACCTCTGTAGCTTTGTCTCCTTTTATGGGCTGGCTCCGATGAAGAGCAGGCCTGCACACTGCAGGAAGATAAGGCAGAAATAGGGGGCTCTTGAACTGGCCCAGAAGATCTGGCCAGGGTCACCAACTCTTCCTGTTTCCGCCGGGCTGTTCTGGTTTTCATTTAATGTAAGGACAACCAGTCACCCTCCATTCAGTAGAACCTTGGTAGATGCAGCCCTACTCCCTCCCTGGCCAGGCTACGTAGCTCAGTTCCAGACTAGAATACAAGCCATCAGGCATCTGTCCATGACACCACCCAGAGCCTTGGCTAGAAGGGCTTGTCTTCTTTGGTCCTGGGTAGAAAATGGAGGTTTTCCCTTCTGGTTGCCTGAATGGAGGGAAAAGGTAGGTCATTGAATCCCAGGCCCCCATAGCAAGCACCAAGAACCTGGCCTTGCCATTTTCACTCTGCTGCACGACTTGGCCCGAAAGAGAGGAGAGGGACAGCAGATCTGGAGATGAGACCTCGTCAGATGACCCTGTGGGACTTGTCTTCTGAACTGCACTGAGGATTGGGGCCTGCTTACTCTTCTAGGGACACTGATCCTGTTCCCATCAAGAAAACAACCATGGCTGAGCACCAGCGCTGAGCCAGGCACCAGCACTTCCCTGCACCGGGTCTCACGGAAGCCCCAGAATTGCTCTGCAAGCCCGAGCTTCTCGTCCCCGCCCTGAAGCTGAAGAAATCAAGGCTCAGGGATGGCGAGAGCTTGCTTTGTGCCCCCCGGATGCTCACTGGAACCCCATCCTGGGCTGCAGGTGATGGAGTCTGTGGAGAAGGGGAAGGAGACAATTGGGGTGGGGTCCCACATGGGGAAGCTGCTCACCCTGCACTGTGCCAGAGAAGCAGCACGTGATGGTTACATCTGAATTTGTGGGTTCAACTAACTTCACTTCTTTGGATGTCCTTCCGTTTTCTCTTTTGGAAACTGGGGAGAGAATAACAGAACCTGCTCCCTAGCGTGGCCCGGAGGAGTAAATGAGTTTGAAGCGTCTTCAAGAGCACCTGCCTGTGATCAGTGCTCATTAGTGGCAGCTGCTATGTGGCTGGTCCCCACCCAAGTACGGTCTTGCACTGAGACCCGTGATGCCAAGCAGCTGTCACTAGGGAACATGTGCAGGCTCTGAGCACACCAGCCCCTCTCCCATGGCCTAGGTACCTAGGTTCGGGGCCCTCAGATATGGACTTCCCATGAGTCACCATGCCTTTCCCACACTCAGACACAATCCTGGGGTCCCATTGGCTGCCTCAGCCTGTCCCCACTGGGGGGGCCATGCCTTAGGGCAAATGACAGAGCTGACCTGAGAGCCTGGCTGAGCCTCCTCAGATGTTGGTGTTTCCCAGCCAAGTGGGAATAGGACTTACCACCCTGCTAAGCCACAGCCTCCTGCTCTGGGGACAGGGTCTGAGCTGGCACTGGCCATCCTGGAGCCACAAAGCCCAGAGAAGTCACAGCAGGAAGGCCTGGGAAGCCTGCACAGCCTCAGGGATCACATGGGTCCCCAGGCAGGGGTCCATAACTGTCCTCCCAGAGGGAGATCTCAAGTGCTCTTCAGCTTTGAATGTTCTCCAGCACAGCGCTGTTAATAACAAAGCTGGTGGGACCAGCCATGGTACGCTGAGCGCTCAGAACCTACCAGGCCCTGTGCTCAGCTCTCTCCATGCATCCTCTCACTCAGTCCTCACAATGTCATGAGGTCAGCATGGCCCATGGCCCCATTTAGTAGATGAGTAAACTGAAGCTTGGAATGTTTCCAGAGCCTGCCCAAGGTCACACAGCTGATGAGCAACAGAGTCGGCAGAACCAGCATTTGTTTGTTCGTGGTGTGCTATCTCCTTGAAGCCCACACACATCTTTCAACACAGCTGTGGATAGGGGGACGCCAGCTTCCACAGGAGAACCCAATGGTCAGAACAGTGACTGGTTTACCCAAGGTCTACACAGGCTTTCCAGGAAGAATAAAGCCCCGGCTTTCTGACTCCAGGCCTCAGACCTGCCCCATGCCTCTGGGGGGCTCATCCCCAGTCATCCCTTCTCCCTGGGGCCCGTTGCCTGCTCCAGCCTTGTAGCACCCCCCCAACGCTGAGCTCCCCTGGCAGTGGCTGGTGTAGTTCCCTTGGCTGTCCATTAACTGCCATCCTCTGTTTATGTTTCAGCCCCAGCTGCCCAGGGAAACTGGGAAGGGAAGGACCTGGGAATGACCTTGTACTTCTTTTGAAGCCTCTGTCAGGTCAAGCCCAGAGCTAGACTCTAGGTGTCTCAGAAAGAATGAGCAAACAAATGAATGATTTGCCCAGGGGGAATTGTGTCTGGAGAGGAAAGGAGTGGAGAAAGGAGGCTACAGAAGAGGGAAAGAGAAGATTCAAATAGGGAGGGGGTAGAAAAACACAGGTGGTCTTATTACTCCTACTCTCACACCCAGGAGGCTGAGACTCCAAGCCAGAGAGGGACCCAGCATCTGTGTCATCAGCAGATTGTGCAGAAATGACCAATTGTATGGCAGAGAGCAAAAGCCATCGGCCCCAGGGAGACAATTTAATGCTAAAGACTTGGCTAAAAATTCTTGATAAGATTT